ACTCCAAAGAGCAAAAGATGCCATGAAAATCCAGTATGACAAAAAGCGCATTCCCTGCACTTTCAAAGTTGGTGAATGGGTCATGCTCCGCACCAAGAATATCGAGACGGGCAGACCGGCCAAAAAGCTTGACGATAAACAGATCGGCCCTTTCCAAATCATCCATACAGTTGGCAAACAAGCCTATACTCTACAGCTTCCTCCCACATGGCGCCACATCCATCCAACATACCACATCTCCTTACTTGAGCCATGGAAAGGCACGAACGAACCGCATGATCGCCCGGGACCAGTCAATGAAAATGACGAGTATGCAGTTGAGGAAGTACTGAATGACAGAAAAGTCAGAAATCACCACAAATACCTTGTTAAGTGGAAAGGATGGCCGAAATCAGATGCCACATGGGAACCTGAGGAACATCTTGCAGACTCCACAGCACTGGATGAATACATGGCCAGAAAAACCAAAAGACCAGCTACTGCTAAGAAACCACAACGCAGTGCATGATACCACAAATAAAGATCCATTAATCTTGTCTGTTTACATACATCATCCAACGACAAGACCTCCCCACACACGAACAACCTAGCCCAGACGGAAAACATCCTTGAAGTGACCAATAATAGTATGCACAGTAGATGGAGGCGCCTCTGAATCATCATCTGCCTGACCAGCAGGCGAAGGAGTCTGAGAATGCACTCCAGGAACCTGTATGACAACACATCCAGTTGGTGCTGCAACACGATTGCCACAAATAGGCTTACATTTCATGTCCACCCTGACCTTCTTTGCCATACCAATAACCCGCACCTTCGCGATGTCTGTGTTGTAATGACGAGCCTGGTGAGCCTGGTAGAGCAAATGGTGGACTTGTTCATCACTCTTGCAAGGAGTCTGCGAAAAACATGTCAAACAGAACTCAAAAAAAAAAAAAAAAAAAAAAAAAAAAAAAAAAAAAAAAAAAAAAAAAGCCACTCACCTCAACACAAGCCAAACCACCACCATGACCCTGTTCAATGCACCTGCGACACTTATCTGCACGACTCTTGAATATGCAAACATGCAAGGGATCCACTGCCAGGTATCAGACGCATCAAGCACACCAATCTGCGACCATATCAGACCAAAACTCTGACTCTTCAGCATCAAGACATTCAACCATGGCAGCCTCCTGCTCAGCTGCAACCTCCTCTGCTAGCTCTCTGACAAATTCCTCCATATCATCAATTTCCACGTCTCCATCCTCCTGTATATGCAAGTGATCAGGTCCTGCTGCACCTTCGTCATTGGTAGAAGACTCATAGTCACTGTCAAAACAAAGAGACGCATGTTCTGAAACCAATCCATACTTTCACAGAATTCGACCAGCATGGTGGATGGTCTTGAGCTCCTTTTGAGTAAAAGGGTAGTCATGTCAGGAAGCAGGAAAATGAACATGATCACAAGCACGCCGCACCATCCTGAGATTCCTACAGATGATATTAGCGCGCTAAATAGGAACCATTTGCAACAGAGATGTTGTTTTTTTTGAAATATGCAGATGCACATTTTATTATCCTTATGTACATGACAGGAGTTGGCACAGAAAAAAGAAGGAAAACAGTGCAACAAGCACACAAAAGCTCTGACACAACAAAGAACACCAACACAGTACTACTGCGTCAAAACAACCCCAAATGAGTTGAAAATGTGCAAGCAAAGAGAAGGACATGCAGATAATTGAACAAAGCAAAAAGAAATACTCTACAACTTACTGGCAAAAAGTTGTACTGGCACAAAGAAATGCAGCATTGCTATGAAAAGGAAAAAGCCAAGAGCCCTACACAACAAACATAAACATGCTCACCTCAGCACAACACTATGCCCAATTCAGCAGTGCAATACAACAACAAATGCAAATGCATGACCACACCAAATTACTATGGTGACTCACATAGACACACTACTTGCAATTTACAAGGTAACAGCCTCAGCGCAACAAATGACTATCAATCCTTTGTTTATACATGACTCTTGACTTCTTTATACACCGCAGTTGTCTACACGCTCAATGCATTCCCCCTTATTTGTTCAATGCTTTATTATACGCCACGAGGCCGTGGCTCTCGAGAAGAAAGAGGACCATGTTAGGATACAAAGCCGCATAGCGGACTTATGCATGTACATAACGCGCACGTGCGGTTAATAAGCACCCGCACATCACATGACCGCGACATAAAGTCTTAACCTCGCTGATGGCCGAGGACAGGACATCAGCGATTAGTACCGTGAATACTACGCATATACTTCTCATAACACTCACTGCGCTATCTATAGACCTTCTCTCACACATTGATGGATTGAGAGCATGTGACATCTTTGCCATGTCTAGTCACCAGTCTGATTCCTCTTTCTGTGGAACTTGGTATCACTCCCTTCGCTCCTCTTTCTTAAATCGTCGCTCATGTCGCTCCATGTCTGCTTGGTGGATGGGGTCAGGCTTAGAATGTTGCAGGACCTGCTTTGGGGCCTCCAGGTACTGCTTGCTCTGGATGTTGTCCAGAAGGGTTCATTGCTCAGACCAAACCAGTTTCTGGTGTCTAACATCCAGCCAGACATCATGGCTGTCAAGCCATTTCTGTCTGATGATCATGTCATGCTGACCCAAGTTGGTGATCAGAAAGGGTTGGTTTAGGAATCACCGTCCTTCAATGAGTAGATGACAGACAATCACATGAGTGATGGTTAAACCAGCTCATCCATCATACCCCTTTGTCCCAATAGGTGTATTGAGTAGTTGTGTGGGAACCCCAAAAAACTTCACTAATCCAATCGCCTGTTAAGTGTCCATAAAAAGATAACTATTTGCTCCAGTGTCGGCCAAGGTAGTCAGGGGGATACTAATTCCATTGTAAGCTATCTAACTATTCACATTGAATCCTTGTCCTCCAATTAGTCAACTAAAATCCAAATCACCTAGGTTGACACCATCTAATCCCAGGTCAGAGACTTTCTCCTGGGCTAGACTTTTCCCACATCCTTGTTTAGCTCATTTTCAGGCGCTTTCTGCTCAAGCTCCTTCAATTCAGAGGTCGCTGTCTTGGTAGGGCAATCTTGAGCCAGATGACCATGCTCCTGGCAGTGGAAGCATTTCCCTTCCTTCATCAGTTGGTCACGTCCAACACTACTAGTCTGTGGGGCGGTAGGACTAGAGCTTTGGGATGGGGTCGGTTCCTTCTTGATGGTGGTCCCAGATCAGTTGACTCCCTTGCTTGTATCCTTGTTGGGAGTGAACACTCATCCCTTCTGGTTCCAGTGGCTGATGACTTCAAGACAGCTGGCGGTCTGGGAGACTGTACTGGAGAATTCCTGGAAAGTACCATTCCTGATGCAGTCAGAGATGCACAGCTCTTGAAGCTTGGTTGTCAGCTTAAAGTAGAGTTCATCCTTCCAATCATCCTTAGCCACACCTGCTTCAGCAGCAAGGTACAAGAATTCAGAGAGGAAATCATGGAACTTGTCACTAACTTTCATGTAAAGCTGTTGGAACTGATGTTTTGCAGTGGTAACACAGTTTGGATCACTGTATATTGTTTTCAAATGGTCCAGCATGTCCTTTGAATCAGTATAAGGGTTCAAGGCATCCTCACACATGCATGGTGTGATGTGCTTTTGGGCCCTGCCCTCACAGCGACTAGCCACATATGCCATGCGGAGCTGAGAAGTGTCAAAGTGGTCAGCATTGGCAGTGAGTTTCTGGGTCATCAGGAGCAGCCAGTCTTCAAATCAGGGTTCCTTGCCATCTGTCAACATTGGAGGATCAGGAATCTTGGTGGACCTTTGAGCATTGGTGGTCACTGGCATAGGTCTCTGATTGCCGCTGTTGGTCGCCTGCATGGTCATCTTCACAATCTGGTCACCTGGTGGCCATATGCATCACACTCAGACTTCACTTCAGTGAGCTGTTGCTCAACATCCTCCAGTTTCTGATGCAAAAGAGCAATCTCCCCATCCTGGCCCTTGTCATGGAGTTCCTTCTCAGCATGGTGCACTTCATGGTCCTCAAGGCACTCTTCATATCACTGGTGGATCAAACAGAGCTTCTCATACAGCCACTCTGGCTTCTCAGAGACAAACTGCAGGAACTCCTCCAAAGTTACCATTTGTTGTCCTTCATTCTCATCCCCATCAATGATGATTGAGGATCGTTGGTTTTCTTGGTTGGTGTCATTACTTGCTTCATCTTGGTTGGCCCTAGGAGGGGCAACAGTATCATTCAGTTGAGCCATACTGACCAGGATTTTCGTATTCGTCGGTTGTCGGTATCGATCTGATTTGTTTGGTCGGTTGGTGTGGGGGACGCACTACTATGGTTCTACGATCGTTGGATTGAACCAATAGAGTAGGCGTATGGAAAAGAAAAAAAAAGTGAGATTCGATATTATGTCACGGGCTCGGAATAGAAGATAATAACAAAATGAATTCCTATCTTGACTATTGTAGCCATCAACGAGAATATCGAATCTGGGAAGGAAAAAGGAGAGGAAATCTATCTGGCGAGTGCAGTCTCTAT